ATTCCTACCCTGAAAACCCTTCCTCGATAGGAGTCCTGCGGAGCTCCCTGTCCTTTGGGACAGCAGCAGCACTGCAGATTGTGAACCTTGCCCCTGCCTAAAGGGGTCCCATCGGTATCCAGCGCTGCCTGCGTGGAAAGGTCCCGGAGTGACAGCCAACACACAAACTAGAAGCTCAAGAAGAACGGGAAAGGTAGCAAAAATAAGCCTGGCTTAAGCGCAGAGCTCAGAAGGGAGGAGGGTACGTGAGTGAGAGTTCAGAGATTTTCACAGGAGCAGAATTTTGGAAAGGTAATATTATAGATTTCCCTATCTTAAAAATACCGTGCTGGGTGGTTTGGTCTATTTTGACAACGTTGTGCTACTTCTACAGCACCGATGAGTCAATCCGTGAGCTCTCCTGCTTCTTCCTTCGGAGATGCAGGTTGTAGCTGGCACAGGGATAACACAGATGGAAAGGTCTGGCCGGGGAGGCTCTGACACGCACAGGGAAGCGTCATCCCCGGGACAGCCCCGGTCTGTCGCAGAGGCACCGCGACAACGCGACAGAATCAAACTGATTGGAGCCACAGAACGCGTGCACCCCGAGGGGAGAGAGGGAGGGTGAAGCGGTGCTGATTTTTAGGTGTCAACGGGAATGCTTGAGACAATGTGATAAACGCGTGCAGGAAGTATTGCTTCTGCAGACGCTTTATCTGACCCAAACGTGCGCAGGCACCGAAAGGGACGTTCCCAGCCTCTGCGCTGGCAGTGGTGTCAGGACAATGCGATGAGCCAGCGAAGGAAATTGAATTGGCTTAAGGCTGGCCTGATGAAACAATAACTTGTTTTCTGCCAGGGCAGTTCCCTGAGCCAGCTCAGCAGGTGGCTGCGTAAACGCGGGAGTTAACACAAAGGCAAGAGCGGGTGCAGTGGCAGGATGAATGGGGCAGGGGGAAAAATCAGCACCCTGCACTTACGTTGGCTTGAGGCTCTCATGAAACCATGCCCAGCAAAATGGGGGCAAATGCGGTCTGTAAAGAGAAAGCCGGGACGCCAGTGCCCTGTTGTCAAATACTAACACAAAAATGAGCTTGGACAACCAATGTATTGGCTAGGGAGGGGTGGTCAGCAAAGGATGTAAGAGATGATAATACATCGTGGGGGGAGGTTTGAGATCTTAGGCTCCTTCCAAAACTGCTTAGGAATTCCTGATGCTGAGAAGTGGCAGAGGACAGCAAAAGAAGGCATGGCTTATTCCAGCACGGACCTGAAGGGCCACACGCCCCAGGTGTCAACTGATGGTGAGCCAAGAGGAAGGCTCTTGGGGACAGAATATCTTTAAGAAAAGTGACTTTTTCCTTTCATTCTCCTTTAAAATCAGGAGTGCCACAGACAATTGCAGTTTCAGAGAGTCAGGAATTTAAAGGAAATGAAATCAAACCAGCCAAGCAGCTAACCACCCATCCATCCAGTCACAGAATCATCAGATTGTTGAGGTTGGAAAAGACCTTTAAGATCATCCAGTCCAACCATTAACCTAACACTACCAAGTCCACCACTAAACCAATTAAGGGCAGAGGAAGAATTAATTTCATGTTCCCTGGCTTGGGGGCTGCATTATTTTTTAATTAAAGTAAAACTAGAGTAGAATCACTAAGGTTGGAAAGGCCCTCTAAGATCATCAGCCCAACCACCAACCCAACACCCCCATGCCCACCAAACCATGTCCCCAGGTGCCACCTCTGCCCGTTTGTTGAACCCCTCCAGGGCTGGGGACTCCCCCACCTCTCTGGGCAGCCTGTTCCAATGCTTGACCAAAAAAAAATCTTTCCATGAAGAAATTTTTCCTAATATCCAATCTAAACCTCCCCTGGTGCAACTTGAAGCCATTTCCTCTCGTCCTATCACTACTTACTTGGGAGAAGAGACCGACCCCCACCTCACTACAACCTCCTTTTTTTGATCCACCTAGATCAACCAGCCAAAAGTAAAACACATAAATCCTGTGGCCAGCTGTCTTCTGCAGGAAAGCAGAATACATAATACATAAAAATAATGACACTCCAGGTAGGGCTACTTAATTTTTATGGTGAAAAGTGGAGCTGAAACAGAGGCTTCATGGGGGCTGGGGAAAAGCAGGCTTGCTGAATGATGCGGAACTAAGTTATGAATGCTGAGCCTAAGAAATATGTAACAAACAACTGTCCAAGTAATAAAACACAACTCATCAGCTCCGTAAGCTTTCTAACTGTACACAGTATAACTCGCTGCACTCTGCAGCTGTCTTTGCCTGCAGCACATCCTTTAGGGTGGGGATTTTCTATTATTTCTTTGGAAAGCACTTAATCAATTTGGCTTGCTACCACTATAATACAGTAGGTAAAAAAAAGAAAAATGTATTATTGTAAGATAAATGAAGTCCACTGAGCTCTGTTTGCTATATCCCTTATGTAGCTTGGATAGACTTTTGGTTGGAGGACATCAGTGAATTAAATAATTTTTAATATGGTGAAAAATCTCAGGGACCCAGCTAGCCATGGCTTAAAGGGTCTCAAAGCTTGGCTGAAAGACATGAAAAGATGCTGGGCAATAAAGAGCAAAGGTAAGCATACACAAAATCAGTGACTAGAAGTCCACATTTGAAGTAGGGCTCTATTTTAAAAGAGTCCGCACAATTAATCACTGGGACATATTGGCAATGAAACGAGTGGCTTCTCCATCATGGTGTGCTCTGAAAGCTACATCTTTAGGGAAACAAGGTATTAGGTTCAGCACATGGATGAAAAGGGGTAATGGTTTTAAACTAAGAGTGGAGATTCAGGCTAGATATGAGGAAGAAATGTTTTACGCTGAGGGTGGTGAGGCACTGGCACAGGTTGCCCAGAGCGGTGGGAGATGCCCCATCCCTGGAAACATCCCAGGCCAGGTTGGACGGGGCTCTGAGCACCCTGCTCTGGTTGAAGCTGTCCCTGCTCACGCCAGGGGTTGGGCTGGGTGGCCTCTAAATGTTCCTTCCCACCCAACCTACTCTATGATTATATGAATAGGGTAGGGTTGGGTAGGGTAGGGTAGGGTAGGATAGGACAGGACAGGATAAGATAGGATAGAACAGACCAGACCAGACTATTTCAGTTGGAAGGGACCTTCAACAATCATCTAGCCCAACTGACCAGTCACTTCAGGGCTGACCAAAACTTAAAGCATATTACTAAGGGCATTGTCCAAATGACTCTTAAATGTCCAAATGCCTGGACACTGGTGTGAGATGACAGAGAAGGTGCTCTAATGGTCTCTTCTGGTCCTGAAGGCTATGCTGCCCTGACAGGAGAGGGGCTGTGAGGAGGATGAGGACAGCAGAAGGGCCAGAACAGCAGTCCTGTACCTTGGCTCCAAGAGGAGCCAAAAGCAGATGCAAACAGAACAGAAGAGCGAGAGCAAGCGATGGTTATTACAGGAAATGCTGTCTGTAAGTGAGATTACTGTTATCTCAATCAGTCAGAAACAGAGACAGTCTGCAAGGGCTGGCTGGAGCGCACTGAGAATCTCCGCCCGGCCTGCCAAAAGCAGAAGGATATACTGTTATATGAGATTTGGGGGGGGTGAGGGGTGAAGATCAAAAGAAGCGACGATGGAGTGCAGATTTCATCAGGCTCTCATGCTGACTTGGAAGACACTCCCAGGCACAATGAAACTAGGATTGAAATTAGTTTCTTTGCGTTTGGCTCCTTCTCGGAGTACACTGTCACTCCGGTAACAGTACCAAGTGATTTTTTTTAAATTTAAAGACCTAAAGGACTGAGAACCTCTACTCCAACTGGTTGTAACATGGCAGCTACGAGCTACGTACAGCATTTCAATCTGTCATACACTCTTCAAGATGCACTCCTTCGTATCTCAAAATCCTATGATTACAGTAATTGAGTGAAGGTGAGAGTCTGAAATTCCTTGGTTTTTATTGTCTTGTGGACAATATTTCGGGCTTTCAGTTCATAGCAGGTGATAGCAGACAACAGTGATTCACTACCACGAAAAAAACCTGACTTTCCCCAGAGATCTAGACAGCCAGAATGCACTTTATCAATACAGCAGTGGAATACAAATTTCTATGTGACACAGTGATGAAATAGGACTCTAAAAATATTATTCAGACGATGACAACGTGGATGGAGCAAGGCCTTTACATAAAGCCTCCAGATCACTAAACCTCCTTTTCCTTTCCAGCACAGCTCTGGCTCTATAAAGGCATGATTTAATCAGGTCCAAAAGTGGAATACGGAAAACCTCCCAGCTCTGTCCTGTGACGAAACAGGAGAGCTGCAAATTTAGGGTAAAATTTCTCTCCATAGACACAGACATGAAATATAAATGTGCACAAATACTAAAGCTGAGATAAAAGAAATTAATTCTTCAAAGCGTTAACATTTTTTTGGAAAGGCACAGAAAGAAACAGTCACATTAAGCAGGTCATGTTGATGGGATTGAAAGAGCTTGCTTGTTTAGCCCAGGTAACGAAGATGGTGGCAGGATGGGACATTTGTCTGCGGCTGCGTGTGGGGTGGAGAGGTGAAGGCAATAAAAAGAAGAACAGTCAGGGTTACAGGACAGTGTTGGCGTGAGAACTAACGGGTGTGAGCTGGCTGTGAAAAAATTTAAGGTGGAAATTAGACAGTTTCCTACTGGTGAAAGACGAAATTCCAGAATGGTCATGGAAAGAAAAATTATCTAAGCTGTTGGGAAGGATGTTAACCAGGTCATGTAGGGGATTCTGTGACACAGGGAATGCAACGGGGTGGGACTGGACACAGCCCAATCCCTTCCCACCTGACGTTCTCCCCCGTGCCTATTTGTGTGTGCGTGCGTGCATATCCGTGTATTTTCAGAAGATTTCGGAGAACACTAACCACGTTTCCCTCTATTTGCCAACGGAGGCCAAATACCTTGGACTGGGACATCACTCCCCAGAGGAAGTAGCGTTACTGTACCCGTCCCTGCTCCAGCAACGCTTTCCTAACACTAACCGTGCACCGCTCTGCAGCCGGTTCACGTAGGTTGCTATCAGTGCATGCTCGTCAGCTAATCGGCTGGCAGCGTCCGGGTTGCACTGTGACCTAGTAGCAACGAAGGCAAAAGAGAGCAAACAAAACATAACATAAATACAAAGCAAATAATTAATGAATGTTAACGAAACAAGCGGTTAAAAAATTAAAACAAACAGATGAGTAATTAAAAAGGCAAACATGTTTCCGCACGTCACATGAAAAGGATACCTTCTGCAGTTAATAAAACACAGATTAGGGAAACATTTGGGTACTTAAACAGGGAATGAATGGAGCCGTGGCGCTTCCCCGAGCCTGCGGTCGCCCGGGGAGAGCGGGGCTGCCCTGAGCATCGCCACCAGGAGCCCCAGGCAGCCTCCGCCCGCGGCGGTGATGTTTCCGCCGGGATCCGCGGTCTTCGGGGAGCCAGCGGGAACAGGGCGCTGAGCACAACCGGAGCCACCGCGGCTGGGGGGACCGGAGCCTCCCACCTGACCAGAACTTACCCTTCTGCTGCCAAACAGCTCTGAAAATAACCCAAACCACACTGGGTTGCAGTTTTATTTCTATGTCTAAAATCAGAACTGAAAGCATCCAGTCTCTTCTCTTGCTCTCATAATAATAAATGAAAATACGAGGAAAGTGACAAAAAACTAAAAAATTAGCGGTTGGTGTCAACAGAACTACCCTCTAACAGGGATCCATTAAACGACGTCATATTTTTTTTGTTTTGAGGACTCATAAAAATAAAGCTACTACAGTTTCGAATATTTCTACGAATAGAGATTGAATGTAAGAAATATTTGTCAGAAGTAATCCCACGTAAATAACCATTTGGCCACATGGTCCAATCCAAACGTGCTGCTTTCTACCACGCTTGCGACAGCAGCATCTCAAAACCGCTGAGAAAACACAGCAAAACGGTTCTTTTCTTTATCGCAGGCATTGCACGCAGCGGCAGCGACACTTTCTTCTCCAGCCCAAAGGAGCGACACGCCAGCTCTGCTAGGCCAGGTTTCCTCCGCGCGGTTTTGCCTGCGGGACTCCAGGCTGCTGTACTGGTGCACGCGGAGAGAGCACCACTCTCTACTGGGAGATGAAGATGCAGATACGAGACCAGACTGTTACCTAAAAAATTATTCTCGAACATGTATCGCTACTATTTTAGCATAACATGCATTTCTTCCTAGAATATAAGGGTATGAGAAATTCCATTTTTCGTTTCTATGTCAGGTATTCAAACCACTCTGTCCATTTATAAGCTGCAGTTAATTCCTTCTCCACACGTGTCCAGGAAGTATTTGTTTCAGAAGCTTTTATAAACATGGCATTTATGGCTTTCAGCATCAATATACTGATACTATGAAAACAGAATTCACATTTTTTTTAGAAACACAAACTCCTTTCTTCTCTGTTACGTGCAGCAACATGTCAGAGAAGTCTGCCAGGAGCAGAATAAGACCTTATAAAAAAGAGGCAAAATGGAATTACCCACGTCAACCCCTCCAGGCAATGAGCAACCTTTGTAATAATGGGTTTGGAATAAGAAAGAGACTTAACATTAACCACTGCACGGAAGAATTTTTAAGCAATCTACACTTCGTGCAGCCTGACTACGGGCAAGTGCTGAAAAGCTTTATTTTAGATATGCTTTATAGCCGGCACATTGCTGCAACCACAACAATTAAGATTCCAAGACCTTTTTCATTATAACACATTACACATGCTCTTTTGAAAAAGAAAAAGCCCAGCAGAAATGACCACATTTTTAACTCTAAACGGGCATAACTTTAACAGCGATTAGCATTCCTGGTTTTGCAAGAAAAATAAGAGTTAGATTAAATTAACGTGTGTCTGAAGACCGTTCCTAGCACGTATCTGATTTTCAGTTCACATCTGTGGACACAGGTAAGCTTGCCTGGTGGTACCCCTGCCCCCTCCAGAACATCGCTCAGCAGCCTCAAAGCTCAGAAAATCACAGGACGCAGAATTAAGGTGCAGGGGCGCAGAATTAAGGTGCATGGGCACAGAATTACGGTGCACGGGCACAGAGCTAAGGTGCACGGGCACAGAATTAAGGTGCAGGGGCACAGAATTAAGGTGCAGGGGCACAGAATTAAGGTGCACGGGCACAGAATTAAGGTGCACAAGCACAGAATTAAGGTGCACAGGCACAGAATTAAGGTGCATGGACGCAGAATTAAGGTGCATGGACGCAGAATTAAGGTGCACGGGCACAGAATTAAGGTGCACGGGCGCAGAATTAAGGTGCATGGACGCAGAATTAAGGTGCATGGACGCCGAATTAAGGTGCACGGGCACAGAATTAAGGTGCATGGACGCAGAATTAAGGTGCATGGGCACAGAATTAAGGTGCATGGGCGCAGAATTAAGGTGCATGGACGCAGAATTAAGGTGCATGGGCACAGAATCAAGGTGCATGGGCACAGAATTAAGGTGCATGGGCACAGAATTAAGGTGCATGGGCACAGAATTAAGGTGCATGGGCGCAGAATTAAGGTGCATGGGCACAGAATCAAGGTGCATGGGCACAGAATTAAGGTGCATGGGCACAGAATTAAGGTGCATGGGCACAGAATTACGGTGCATGGGTGCAGAATTAAGGTGCATGAGCACAGAATTAAGGTGCATGGGCACAGAATTACGGTGCACGGGCACAGAATTAAGGTGCATGGGCACAGAATTAAGGTGCATGGATACAGAATTAAGGTGCACGGGCACAGAATTAAGGTGCACGGGCACAAAATTAAGGTGCACAGATGCAGAATTAATTAAGGTGCATGGGCACAGAATTAAGGTGCATGGGCGCAGAATTAAGGTGCTTGCTGACAACCTCCTCTCTGCCTCCTCCCAGGATGGCACTAGGCTAGCAGGCACCACCTGCGTGTATTCTGGCTGCTTGACTTCGTTAGGTGTGGCTCTCGGGAATCATGGAAAGAGTAAAGATACGGTCAGATCGGGGTTTTGGTTACAGGAGAGCTGGAGGAAGCGGGTCACCCTGGGGGGAAGCACACTCCTCCTGATAAATCTATCACCAAAAGAAGTAGCTGCATCCTGGGAAGAATTTATCTTGTGAATGTGTTTGGCAGGCGTACAGATGTTTTCTCATCGAGGAGAATATCTAAGCGTGGTGGGCAGGAGGAAGCGCAGGGCTTAGGGGCATTCTGTGCCTTGCGCCGGGGTATTGTAAAAACCTTGCAGGTATGCGTGTTGCTTTCATGGAGCAAAAGTAGCGTTAAAATATAGCAGCTAGTGCAGGTGATCCTGATCTGCAAAACTCAAATAGACACAAGCTTCGTGGTTCAGAAAAAAGCATTAAACTCGTATCCACTGTCCTAGTACCTTCCTGGCTGAACGTGCCGCTCTATTTGCAGACTGCGCTTGTCCCCTAAAGCAGAGCCATCACGGCAGTGCTGGCGCATTATTCAAAGAAAGCAGAATTTAAGTTATGCGGACACGTACCTTTAACTCTCATTTCCAAAGGGCTCGCCTTGTACTGAATTCAGCTCCTCTGGGAAAGCCTGAGATAACTATGGACAAGCTTAATTCTTTGTAAACTTTGTCAGTATAATACCTACTGAAGGTTTGTATAGCAATTAGCGCCCATTCAAAGCAGCTGTAGCATGCAAATTTACAGCTAAGCAGCAGCGCGGAAGGCAAAAAGTAGAAGCAACACATGACAGCGCTATCGACAGGACAGGAAAAGAAATCACAAGCCTAGTATATACACCTATATCTTAGAAATTTATTTGACGCTGGCCTCAGTTAAGGTGCAAAATTGCTTGGTATGTCCCTCTGCTTCCCTGTCCCCCAGCAGCTCCCCGTTGCAGGTAACCAAATCTGCAACGTCACCAGCCTACCTCCTCTCGTCTGCCCATGAAGCAACCGGCACCTTGGTAACGTCGCACCGGAACCGCTCCTGGCGCTGGCGGCTGCGGCGTGCCCGCTTCCCAGGCAGGGATTTATTTACTTGAAGGCCACTCACATGCTGGAAACACTGAGCAAGGTGTGTGCCGAGCTGGGATCGCCTGGGCCGAGCCGGGATCGCCTGGGCCGAGCCAGGGATCTCCTGGGCCGAGCCGCGGATCGCCTGGGCTGAGCCAGGGATCACCTGGGCTGAGCCGGGATCGCCTGGGCCGAGCCGCGGATCGCCTGGGCTGAGCCAGGGATCACCTGGGCTGAGCCGGGATCGCCTGGGC